CCAATAAATTTAGCCACCTATACAGCAGATAGATAACCAAAGAAACAAAAGAAAATGGTTTATATGGCAGTTCTTGCATGTTTCGAGGAAGAGATGAGTAAACAAGAGTCTTGGGGAATAGAAGGGGGTTTTTGAAAGCATACTTCGTGCTTTTCCTGATACTCAGACATGTCAATACGGATGAAGGCCTTGCTGACATCCTTGTGCAAATAGGCGGCCACCTGCTTAGCCATTTCGGTCTTCCCGATGCCCGAAGAACCAAGGAAGAGAAAAACAAGGGGGTGGTCTTCATCGTGCCAACCATTCTCCTTGCGACGGATAGCTGAAGTTTGCAAGAAACAGCTTGTGACAAAGGCATGTATATACAAGAAAGATTGAAAAAATGACTCAGAAAACAATACTGAGGAGACAAAAAAACTCATTAACTTTATTAACTAAGACTTTTAAAAGCCTACTAAATTAATGGGCAAACTTACCGTAAATTCTTTGGGGCGTACTCAGGATCGGTCCGGAAGCTGACATGCGCGTTTGAAACGCCGTCAGCTTCATTATAATAACCGCGTACTACGCACATTCTGTCCGCAGACAGTCAATGGAATATAAATGCTTACTGAATTGCTATACTATACTATACTTGAGCAAGACAGAGCTTTCTTCTGAGGCTACTTTTGTCTGTGATTGACAATATTTAATAAACTACTTCCACCTTTTCAGTAGGTCGAATTTCCGCCCCTCCACTTCCTTTATCGTGCTAACCAATCAGAGTTGCCCTAATAGTCTTCTCGGTATAGGGCTTCCTTTTCAGTCTATTTTTTTCCTTTCCGCAGCCTTTTCATCTGCATTTTTATTCAAGTAAAACAATTACAAGCGGCTTTAACTTCTTTCTTATTGCACATTTGTCACGCGCCCATACAGTTCTTGGTTTGCCACACCCTTTAATTTCGCTTTAACCCGAATTCCCTAAGAAACTTGAGCAGCAGAACTTAGACGGCTTCACAAGAGGGCCTTACCCACATGTGTTTCGCCGACTTTGTGTTGCTGCTTACTGCGTTGACAGTTGGGATCAAGTAAGGTCACAAAACTACTTCGAATTGGTAGAAAACACTAGTTTCAGTTACATGACGAATATCGCTTTTCGAGAATCTTGTAAGCGTTAAATTCTTAGGTTAAATTCATCCGAGCGAATAAATTCTCCACTGCAAAAACGCCAAAGACATACAGACAGGCGTCTTGCAACACGTGTGTTTCGCCGATTTTGTGTTGCTGCATGACGTAATCGGCTCGTCAGTGGATCCTTCAGCGTGTTTGACACGCCAGTTTCTAACGTTAAGCCTTTGAATGTTCTTCGAAATTGATGTATTACCGTGGAGTCGCTTTTGCAGCCTGAACATTCTCCAGATCGGTTCGAAAGTTGATATACACGTTCGGCCTCAGAGGAGTACGCGCAAAAGACAGGCAGTATGCAATATATCAATGCGTAAACTTAGAGTAGCTCGGCAAAGCATGTGCATGAGCTTTTATTCAGCAGCTACCCTGAGAGTATAACCAACCAGGCACCTTTCTATTGACTTCATATTTTCAATTTGAGGATTTCCCTCAGACTCTGCGTAGAACGAATCACACCTTCAATTTACATGCGGAACAACTTACTCCCAGCGGCCGCGGGAAG